CCTTCACGTGATCTTGATTCCATCCCTCTGTTGATGCAGCCTAGAACTGTGTTGGCTTTTTTGGCTGCTTCTGAACACGCCTGGCTCCTATTTAAATGGTTGTCCACCAGGACTCCAAGATCCCCCTCACAGCTACTCCTATTGAGCAAGGTGCCACCTATACTGTACCTGTGCATTTGGTTTTTCTTGCCTAAATGTAGAACCTGACTTTTTTCACACTTGAATTTCCTTTTGTTAGCTAGCGCCCAATGTTCAAGTCTGTCCAGAGCCTTCTGTATCTTGAGCCTCTCTTCTGGATGTTGGCTATTCCTGCCAGCTTGGTGCCGTCTGCAGATTTGATGAGTTCCCCATCTAAAATAACATTAGAACTCTCTGACCCACCAGCCGATTTTGTCCCACTGGAAAGGGAGACAGAAAAAAAATGGGGTATTTTCAGAGAGAGAGAGGGGGTGGTGAAAGTTTTTAAAGAGTAAGATTTGAGCCTTCAAAAAATCAGGTTCTGAGTTAAAACTATATTCCCTCTAATCCTTTTAATACCTTGGTTTTATTTGCAGTTGCGAAAACCAACCTATATCAATCCCTTGTTTCTCCAATTCTTGTTTTTGTTTTATTCCATCCACTTCTGTTAAGATATCTTTATATCTGATTATATTCTTCATGTTGCTCATATTTGGTTGGGTCAATGCTTCCATTGTTGAAAGCCACATTGGTATTTCTATATAGTGTTTCCTTTTTACTCTTCCCCATGTTATCAATAATCCATTCCTTACGCAACCTCGTTGGAAGTATCTTACTTTTACCATACCACATACTGCAGTTTTTTGCGCTGACTTGCCCTGTGCATTTTTGCTCTCCCTAGCCCCACATGTGTCCCTTTTGTGTCTCTCTCTGTGTTTCTTTCTCCACATTCCTCCAAAGGGTGTTTGAGGTTGTATTATGCGCCTTATTTCATCCGCAGGGACGTTCTGGTGAACATTTTCCACCTTGGTTTTCTGAGGTAGTTTGAGAAAGTCTCTGAGGGGTTTTTGGAAATCAAGGCGAAGACCTCCTGCTTTATCTGATATCTTTCTATCTGCAGCTCCAAGGGATTGGGTGGGTTTGCCAGATCATCCTGGAGAAATGGCTGTCTTCCTCTTTGCCCTCAAGACTGATGGCCTTCCATGTTTTTTTTCCCCCCTCCTTTCAGAAACTTCCGGAAACACCTCCGCATGGTAGGGAGCCGTCGCATGAAGGCGCAAAGTAAGTCAGCTGATTGGGCGGGATTGGGAGGGGGCCACGCCGTGCCAAGTTCTCCCAATTCCCAAGCTCTCTCCTTCCCCAACCAGGGTTGAACCTCCTGACCCCCAGTGGTCTCATATGTTATCCTAAAGCCTACCCCCACCCCCAAAGGATGGGGTGCTTGTGCAAAACATCAGGAAGGATCCTGGTTGGGGAAAGGAATTTTTTTTTGGGGGGGAGGGAAATGTTTTTGTGGCGTCCAATGCGCTTATAGCAAAGATGGTGAGCCAGGGATGGATGTGATTTTAGCATTGTTTTGTCGTAATTAATTTCCTTCTTCTTCCTCCTCCTCCTCCTCCTCATTGTCTATTTCTCCTTCTCCTTTTTCTTCTTCTCTTGTCCTCATTGTCTATTTCTCCTTCTCCTTTTTCTTCTTCTCTTGTCCTCATTGTCTATTTCTCCTTCTCCTTTTTCTTCTTCTCTTTTCCTCATTGTCTATTTCTCCTTCTCCTTTTTCTTCTTCTCTTTTCCTCATTGTCTATCTTCTCCTTTTTCTTCTCTTTTCCTCATTGTCTATCTTCTCCTTTTTCTTCTTCTCTTTTCCTCATTGTCTATCTTCTCCTTTTTCTTCTCTTTTCCTCATTGTCTATTTCTCCTTCTCCCTTTTCTTCTTCTCTTTTCCTCATTGTCTTATCTTCTCCTTTTTCTTCTCTTTTCCTCATTGTCTATCTTCTCCTTTTTCTTCTCTTTTCCTCATTGTCTATT